CATCGATCACGCCGAGACGCCATCGGCGGCCCGCCATTGTTTGCAGGTAATCAGATTTTGAGGCTTCATAGAGCCGCGGCAACAACTGGCGAATCAGTGGGGGTCCGCGGGGCCGGTAACACCCCCCCTTCCATCATCGCGTGCGCGCATTTCTTTTTCTGGCCGTTATTTCTGCTCTGCGGCCTCGTCTTCGATGTGCAACGGCTCCGGAAATATCAGGCGAGGGTCGGTGTCGGAGAGCTCGCCGCCTTTGATGCTTCCCCCATCCCACCGCAGGCGGCTTCAAGACAGTCTGAGCCTATCCTAAGAGATATCTAGATCTGCCGAAATATTCCTGGAGGGGGCGGAGACAAGACCAGTCACCCTGCACAAGGAGAGAGAGCGGCAGTGACCGGTCTTTATTACAGGAGAGGGCGGAGACAAGACCAGTCACCCTGCACAAGGAGAGAGAGCGGCAGTGACCGGTCTTTATTACAGGAGGGGGCGGAGAGAAGACCAGTCACCCTGCACAAGGAGAGAGCAGCAGTGAGCGGTCTTTATTACAGGAGGGGGCGGAGACAAGACCAGTCACCCTGCACAAGCAGAGAGCAGCAGTGACCGGTCTTTATTACAGGAGGGGGCGGAGAGAAGACCAGTCACCCTGCACAAGGAGAGAGAGCGGCAGTGACCGGTCTTTATTACAGGAGGGGGCGGAGAGAAGACCAGTCACCCTGCACAAGGAGAGAGAGCGGCAGTGAGCGGTCTTTATTACAGGAGGGGCGGAGAGAAGTCTCATACGGGATTACTGCACAGATCTGGAAGAAATACACAAACATTGACATAAGACACATCGCTGGATCCTAGTGAACCGATTGGCTCGTGCGCTGGTTGCGGACGCGTCACATGACCTCCTATATGGTGTACTGATGGCTCCATCCACACAGTCTGCCTGCGTTGGAGACTCTTTTTCCTGCTTCTTTCTGCCGTTTCCCACATAGCATCTGCTTTTCTCTTGGAGGAGTCGGAATGTTGTACCACAAACGCCGCCGCGCTTCCCCTGAACGAGAGGCTGTGACTGGCTCGCGTCCCAGGAAAAGCTGCCGGCGTCCTTGGTGGGCGGGGCTATCACGTCCGTGTATAATCTCCACTTTGGTTATTATCACCTGTAAGTGCAGATTGATACGAATCACACTCGGTTTGTAGAATCCCTTCTGGGTCAGCCCAAGGACATCCAACCCACAACCTCAATACAGACCATGTGACTGACCATGTGACTGAGGGACCCCCTTCACTATCACCGCCCGAGCATTCTCTGTGTTGTAATAAGAAAAGGAGAACATCTGCACAACTTCCTTTATCCAGGAAGTCTTAATTAGAGCAGCCAGCCAATCAGCAGGAAGCGAGTGATTCCCGGGGGGCGTTCTGTGGACACGCGGCACACATACCGCGCCCGGGTGGCCATCGTGTATGGCAATAAGCAACATTTAGAATTTTTGGGCAGTGTTGGAAATGTTTCCCCTCCCCCCCCCCTTAGCCTTCCCCCTGTAGGGTTACATAATGATCTGATCGATGATGAAAAAACATATGTGACCCTTTTCTAGCAGCGCCGCTCAATACAACGCACCGAGTATGTGTGCGCTACGCTGGGCTCCACTGTACAGTGCGCTGGGGTTCCATTCACAATTAATGGCACACAGAATAGGGGCCTTGACATGCGTTGTGCTCATTGGCCCCCAGTGTAAGGACTGGAAGGTATGGGGGGATGCAGCTACCACATGTAAGGACTGGAAGGTACGGGGGGGTGCAGCCACCTCATATAAGGACTGGAAGGTATAGGGGGGTGCAGCCACCTCATATAAGGACTGGAAGGTATAGGGGGGTGCAGCCACCACATGTAAGGACTGGAAGGTATAGGGGGGGGGGCAGCCACCTCATATAAGGACTGGAAGGTATAGGGGGTGTGCAGCCACCACATGTAAGGACTGGAAGGTATAGGGGGGTGCAGCCACCACATGTAAGGACTGGAAGGTATAGGGGGGGGGGCAGCCACCTCATATAAGGACTGGAAGGTATAGGGGGTGTGCAGCCACCACATGTAAGGACTGGAAGGTACAGGGGGGTGCAGCCACCACATGTAAGGACTGGAAGGTATAAGGGGGTGCAGCCACTTCATATAAGGACTGGAAGGTATAGGGGGGTGCAGCCACCACATGTAAGGACTGGAAGGTATAGGGGGGTGCAGCCACTTCATATAAGGACTGGAAGGTATAGGGGGGTGCAGCCACCACATGTAAGGACTGGAAGGTATAGGGGGGGGTGCAGCCACCTCATATAAGGACTGGAAGGTATAGGGGGGTGCAGCCACCACATGTAAGGACTGGAAGGTATAGGGGGG